CGGTTTCTGTTCTTAACTGGTCCAGGTCCTTTTTCCGACTACCTACCCATTAGGTGTAATTGCTGATGTAATCACTCTCACAGGGGACAATTCTATCAACGTTCCATCCGCAGATAACGTCAGCTTTAATATCTGCTTTTGCTAACTTGGTGCGGAGACTCCACGGATCAAAATAAACATACTTGCTCCCTAGGGAGCCCGAATGTGAACAGAAAATAACAGTGCCATGTGACAAGCTGCAGGGACAGAAAGGGGGTGGTGGGAGTGGAAGAAGAGTTGGAAGTTGGCTTGGGTAAGTGATGGAGGACTGCCCTGAGAAGGCTGTGGGCTTCACAGGGAGGGAGGGGAGGAGGCAGGTGGATGAGAATGAGGTGGGGGAGGACACAGGAGTGAGGAAACACATTTTCTATAATGCGGGGCTATTTTTGGAACTGCTGGAACAATAAAAAAAAAAAAATAAAAGCGCTTAAGGAGAAGAGTTAGGACACTGCTCCTGCAGACGTGGAAGCCAGTGGAGAATTTTGAGCAGGAAGGTGATACAAAAAGGATGAATGGAAAGTCGTGGAGACGGTGACCCCACGTGACCCCCAGTGGTAAAGTGAGGGTAGGCTAACTAGAGCCCATAGGTACCCAGCCCACCCTAGCCCACTCTATCCTGGGAAGTGGTACAGGGACTGAGCACAGGGTCATGCAGTGCAGACTACCTGATACGGTCTCTTCTCATCACTCTTCTTGTAGTCAGTCACTTAACAGTTAGGGAAGGCCTGCTGTGGACCGAGGGTTGGCTGTATTCCAAGAATTCACAATACTAGCCAGGGCTGTGTTTTCAGAAGGGGGAGGATGACAGATAGACAAGCTAGGGCATCCAGATAAAGGCCTAGGAAAACGAGGCTCAGTGATGGTAGAGTTCTCAGCGGCTGCCCGCTCCCAGCTTAACAATACTTCCTAGTCTCCTGTGGTCTGACTTCGGTTTTCCAAGGAGGCTTTGCTTCTAGAAAGATTACTACGGTAAATAATTAAACCAGTATGTTGTGTATTTCCAGGGAGCCTTGCCTCAGCAGGGATAGTTAAACCTAGTTTTCCCCAGGACCCAATCAATCTTGATAATTGGTACTTGAGGGCCACAGACTCAAGACGTCACAAATCTAATGTTTTAAGAAAGTCTCAGACCTTTTCCTGACCATCGTGTCCATGTAACTAGACCTTCCCCTTCCTTCATTTCCCCTCTTCCCAATGCATATGCACGCTCTTTATAAAGATAGCGCTGTACAATATGTACACTTTAAAACAGGCCCGCCCCTTCTGGTGGGTTCTAAACTGAAACTCTCTTTGCATGCACCTTTTCAGGCAGCTGGGAAGTACATCCCGGCAGCTGCCAAGCATAGCAGAGCCTGTGTGGATGGGGGGTGGGGGTGGGGACTGGAGACTGGCACATCACTTTCAGGGGTGCTGGTATGTAAGCCTTTGGTGTTCTTTGGTGCCAAAGGGATGCCAGCCAAGAAGAAGAAGCGAACATTGTATTAAAAGCAGCTGCAGAAGCCAGTGGCTTGAAAAGGCAGATTTCCCAGTGTGCCCTGTGGTCTTCCCGAATTTGACACATTTACTCACTGTGGTTTTGTTTTAGTTTTCTGTGATAACTTTCAAAGACACAGGAAAATGGAAAATCCAGTTTTAGGGTTATTAGTGAAAGCCCCTCTGCCCGGTTCCTTTGGATTGCCTGTTAGAATTTGTCCTCTGAGGGACAACTGTCATCAGAGGTGACTAATTAGGGCTTCAGCTCTAAGAGTTTTTTTTAACTCTGACTGAGAGAAGCGCTAATAAAAATTGTAACATTGTTTCTTTAGCATTTTACAGATTACAAGGTACTTTTCACATTCCTTTGAAAATTGTAAATTGAGAACTGAATGCTAATTTAGTTATCACTTTCCGAGATTCATGATATCTACTCCAGGTTGATTGAGCCCAGGGATCTTGCAGACCCATCCTTTCCTCAATCATCCAGGGAAACTTAGGTATTGGACACCATCCAGGTTCTACAGATTTTGTTAGAAATAAAGCAGGAAACCAGACAGACTTGTTTGCTACCCTTATAGACCTCCAAGGGGAAGACAGACATTAAACAAATAATTACATACAAGAAGCATGTTTTTAAAAGGCACGGTAGGGGCAGTCAAGGGCATGACACCCTGGGAGGTAACCTGGGGCTCGGGCAGGGGCAGGAAAGGCCTCTGGTTGGAGGTAGGAAGTGATGTTTAAACTGAGGTCTAGGGGATTAGAATTAATTTCTCAGAGGTTGAGAAGAACATGCATTAAATACTAGTATCTGAAAGACAGCATGGGAAAGGCTGTGGATGCTGAATGAGGGTGAGTGTCCAGAAAGACACAGAGAACACTGCTTGAGCCAGACTTTTCAGATAAATAGGTGGAGGAGACTGCATAGGGGTCAGATATTGTTTATTCTTCTCTCTCTTCCCAAGGAAGCAGCCTTCACCTGCTGTTTTTTTTTTTTTTTTTTTTTTTTTTTTTTTTTTTTTTTTTTTTTGAGACAGGGTTTCTCTGTGTAGCTTTGTGCCTTTCCTGGAACTCGCTTTGGAGACCAGGCTGGCCTCGAACTCACAGAGATCCGCCTGCCTCTGCCTCCCGAGTGCTGGGATTAAAGGCGTGAGCCACCACCGCCCGGCCTCACCTGCTGTTTAAAAAAAGAAGAAAAACAAACTTTATCTGTTAATTACTACAGGTTGGAATTTGCACAGATAAGTATTGTTTTTTTCAGTGGGTAGGAGAGGAAAAGGACTTGAGGGAACTAGCTCAGGTTTACCGTCAAGTAGCCAGCGGAGCTAACCTCTGAATACACACTAGGCAGCCCACAACTCCTCATTGTCAAGGCCAGTCCAAGCCTTGTTTTTAACAGCAATATTATACAGCTTGGGGAATTGGCAAAGGAGCTTTGAGGAATTCGAAATACTACCTTGGGCAGAAAGTGCTCTAGGTGAATGGACACCACCAGGCAGAAGGCTGCTGGGTGGCTTCAGAGGGTCCTAGAGGCATGTGCTTTGGGGAGGTTCCCTGAGCTAACTAACCACCATCCGGCCCAGCCGGTTAATCATTTCCTGACCTTTGTTTTTCCTGCCTGAAGGATTGCCACATCGTCTTCCCTCTCCCTTGCTTGCCTTCCGCCACGAGGCTCCTTTCACCAGGTAAAACAAAACAAAACAAACAAAAAACAACCCCAACTTTAGAGGCTAGGTTTGTGAGAGCCCCAGACATTCTCAAGGCCCAGACAGGGAGGTCACAGGCTTTCTCCCTCTAGAAATTTGTCCTCTCCTCTCTACCTCTTTCTAAAGACAGATCTGGAGCTGGGGTCCAATCTTCGCAAAGCAGATTATGCTCTGTTTCACTGGCAGTAAAAAGAGGTACCGTGGCAGCAGCGTAGGAGGGTGTTTTAAGGCTTAAACAAGGTATGGTATGCAAAATGCCTGGCTGGGAGACAGTGGTGGGGGTCTAACACACGCTGCCTCCTTTTATATCACCTGGTAACCCGGACCTTGTACAGCAAACTAGATTGTTATTTCATTCAACTTGGAGAGGTATAGATATGAAATAGGTACGAGATAATAGTGAGTCATAATGGCAGGGCTTACACCCAGGTACCCCGGCTGTCCTGCGGGCCCAGCCATGCAGCATCCAGGTGACGCGCTCAGGCCAGAGTTCAGAACTCAGAATGGTTCCGGACCGCACCTGCTACAGGGAGAACTTGAAAAGTCAGGACTGTTCTGGGGCCCCTGCAGCCGGCTGGGCCACCGAAGGCCACTCCCACAAAGTCCCCTAGCCTGTTTCTTCCTGTGTAAAATGCGGCTTCAACGCTTGTCCGTCCGTACGACTGTTTTTCATTTTCCGCACACTTTGCAATGTGGCCACATACTCTCTTTCCAAGCCTCGCTGCAGTAGTCAGATTCACTGCAGTAGACACAGCAGTCCCGACCGGTCTGCCCAGACTGAGTACCCACGTTTGCTGGGGTCCCAAGAAGCTGCCGCCGCTGCTCAGGGCAGTCTGAGTTGAGAAAGTCACTTCACAACAGCCGGGTGGGACTCTACTCCAGCAGAACGTAAGAACCAAGGCCCCGCCCAACGCGGGGCGGGGCCATATCTGGGGGGCGTAACCAGTAGGGTGGGCGGGGCCAGCTAGAGAAGGCGGAAGCTTACTGTCCCCGGGCGGCGGCAGAACCAGGAGTCCAGATTTCCTCGTTCTCCGGAGCGGGGCGCCGGGAGACGGCGTGTGGCAAAACCCGGCGCCCGGAAGCCCTTGCTTTCTTTGACGCAAAGGCTCGGGACGAAGCAGCCGCCGTCTGCCCAGCGCCGGGCTAGGAGCGACCCCAGACGGAGCCTCCGAAGTCCCTCCGCCCCACAGCCTCGGCCGTCCCCGCCGCCGTCCTCGTGGCCATGGAGTGTCCGCACCTCAGCTCCAGCGTCTGCATCGCCCCGGACTCAGCCAAGTTCCCCAACGGCTCCCCGTCGTCCTGGTGCTGCAGCGGTGAGTGCGGCCCCGGGGCTGGCCGGCCGCGCACCCGAGGTCCCGGCTCTGGCCCGGGCCTTGCCGTCGAAGGGCCGCGGGCGGGTGGCGCGCGGCCCCGGGGGAGGCTGCGGGGAGCGGGCCGGTCGCGCGGGGCGAAGGGACGCGGGGCGGCGGGCGCGGCGGCGGCTCCTTTGTTTCGTGCGGCCCGACGGCCGGGCCGGCTGAGGAGAGGCCCGCGGGGGCCTGAGGCGAGCGCGCAGCGGTGGGATGACGCGGCGGCCCGCACCCCACGGCTCCGCGAACAGAAGGGCTGGCCCCGCGTGTGGCGGGTCCGAGCTCGCTGTCCCCCGTGGGCCGGACAGGAAAAGCGCCGCTCTGCGGTCGCAGCTTTGTCTGGACTGCCGGGCGCGCGGGCCCCTTCGGGCTGCGCTTCCTCCCCGTTCCCACAGGCTCCTGCTCCCCCCACCCCCCGCCCCCGTGGTCCCCGAGCCGACTGCGCTGGGGGCGGTTGATCTCGGAGTCTTGCCTCAGCCTGGGAGGGTGAAGTTTGAACACAGGCTGCGGGCTCCGAAAGCTCGGGAGAAGGCAGCCAACAGCTGCTTTGGAGGGGCGGCTCGAGTTTTTTTTTTTTGCCTTTCGAAGATTGTTCCGAGACGGTCTTTCGGTTTGGTTCAGGATTGCTTTGGGAACAAGCACACGCGAGTGCGTGTGTGTAAGACACTTCTTAGATTTATGTTATGCTTATGGTTTGCTTAAGCGTTAACTCCTTCTGCCCCCTCGGAAGCCCGGTGCCCTCTCATTGTCTGCCGGGACTTAAGGTCGGACCGGCCACCCCGCTTTGATTACTTCCTGGTAGGGCCCTGGTGCCGACGCTGGTCTTTGTTTATGAGCTTTAAGATCACTGGCAGCTTGGGCTGTAGTGTAAAATGTGACTAGTGTACAAGAAATCAAGTTCATTTGCAATGCTGGAAGACGGTGGTACGGTCCAGCAGAGTGGTTTCTTCTCCTGGGTTGGCTTGGAGCTGGGAAGGTAGTTTAGAGAGTGCTTTGATACTTTTGACAGGTTACTTCTTCAAAGGTGATTATGTTCTTGAAGCAAAACATACGGAGTGGCACAAAGAAAGCCCGTCCTCCAGGATAAGAAATAGAAGTAACTGCAGTTTTCCGGAGCTCCAAGACTGGTACCTTGCTTACCTTTGTAAAGTCAGGTGTCTTTTTCTGCATGAAGACTTTAAAAATTAACCAGTTAATTGGTTTCACCGAGCAGTATTGCAATTCCTTTGGTTTGCGAGACTGGGTCTCTGTTATTGCCCAGGGTGACCTAGAATACGTAATTTTTCTGCCACAGCCCTTGGAGTGCTGGGATTATAAACATGTGCTGCCATGCTTGGTTAGTATTGCAGTTCTTTGTGGGAATGCAGGAACTTGTGTAAATGGGCCCTTACCTGTAAGTATGTCTTTAACAGAGAGTCTTGAGCATGGAACATCACAAAGGTGTATCACACATGGACTGGTGGTCTGTTAGCTAATTAGCTATAGCTGTGGGGCTGTAGCAGAATTTTTCTCAAGAGAGATTTCACACACACGCACACGCACACATGACCACTAAGAAAAGCATACACTTCACAAGGAGTGGGGCACTTCCTCTTGTTCATCTGTGGTCAGTACAGGGAATCAGAGGTGGGTGCATCAGCACAACCTGTATCTTTCTTTTCTTTTCTTTTTTTCTGTGTAAAATCACATCAAACTTAGAAATGGCTTCATTGTGCACATACATCTAAAAAAAGACAAGAATTATGCAAGTTGCAGATATCCTGTTGTGAGTCAGTCTTGCCTCGTCAGTCAGGGAGTCCACTTGACTCGGGGAAAGAGATACAGCAAATGAAGCTTCTCCCGAGGAATTCAGCGCATTAAAATAGAGCATAACCGAGAGGTTTGTGCTGACAACCGGAACGAATTAGTAATGGTGATTTCTGTCCCGGGCAGAGGGTAGCATCTTTACAACGAGCAGCAAATGGTTGCCTCTGACCCTGCTTTGGAAGGGTGGGTCTAATCACCTGCATTTGTAGGACCAATAAAGCTAGTTTCACAACTCTGTGGGTGTTTTCTTCTGTCCAACCCCGTTTCATGTGGGCCTCCCATTTTAACCTTTTGGCATCCCGTCATTGGTATAGTCGAGTGTTACTGTATTAAGCTTGATCTTGTTCTTGCCTGCCTGTAGTTTCAATAATTAAATGATTGGTAAATCTGTAATCCCTTAACTAACTCTTCATCTTGGAGTGCTATGTATTCTGAATTTTTTTTCTTCAACACTCCAGAATTTGTTTGTTTTTGATAGGAGATTAGAAGGATAGCCAGTGTGTTGAAGTAATGCTCGGGCTGGTACTGAGTCTGATTATACTCTTCCTGGGGAGGGAGAAAATGCCTGTTTTGGCACTTGGACAGTAAAAGTAATGCCCCTGTCTTATTTTCATTGGGAACTTGCAGTTATACCCCAGTGATAAAGCCAAGCAGATTGCAAAAGACCAAGGGCCCAGACTCTAGCGAGCAGCACCTGCTTGGACCAGCACTTCCATTTCCTTATGTCTTCTGGAAAAAGAGCAGTGCTTTGCATTTGCTTCACAAGTCTCTGTTAGGAGGAGCGCGCTCGCGCACCCTCATGTATGTGGAAAGTTTGAGAAACTGATGTTTTATGGTGTCTAATTTATGGTATCACTGACTCTAACATTTTTATAAATAGGACTCTGAAAATGAAATGTCTAAAGCCCACTAAATGGAGCCCAGACAGATTGGCTTTATGATGAATTGTTTTACAAGGAGATACAGAACTCAGCAAGATTAGGGGGTAAGGAGTAATGATACTTCAGAACTAACCTGAGCTTCTTAGCCATGGAAGGCACTGTGTTATGTAATTGTATGTTACAATACTTCATACAACTTTTTGTTTGCAAGACCCCGTTATAGTCTCAACATTTTTTAGAACCCAGATTATTTGTGTGGCTTTTGTCTATTAATATCACCATATTAGAAATTAAAATTAAAACTGTAAATATTTATTTACTTATTTAACAATAAGAGGCCTAATACTTTTTATCAGAAATGACAGTCTTTTAAAATTTTTATTTATTTATTTATTTGTTTTTTTTGAGACAGGGTTTCTCTGTGTAGCTTTGCGCCTTTCCTGGAACTCGCTTTGTAGACCAGGCTAGCCTCGAACTCACAGAGATTCGCCTGCCTCTGCTTCCGGGAGTGCTGGGATTAAAGGCGTGCGCCACCACTGCCAGGCCTCAGAAATGACAGTTTATGCAAAAAAATCATAACAAAATTGAACGGGAAGAGTATTTTTCTTTTTCTCTTTTTTTGGTTTTTTGAGACAGCGGTTCTCTGTATAGCTTTGGAGCCTGTCCTGGATCTCACTCTGTAGACCAGGCTGGCCTCGAATTCATAGAGATCCACCTGCCTCTGCCTCCGGGAGTGCTGGGATTAAAGGCATGCGCCACTACTGCCCGGCCAAAGAGTAGTTTCTTAAGTTTTTATGTTTTTGTGATTTTATCTTACTGGAAGACAGCCGGATTCTCACATCTGCTTCTGCATGCAGTCTCTTGAGATATCACACTTCCCGTACTATCTAGAAAACTTCACGTTGTGCTCTTGAGAGATCGAAAGGAAACATTCAAAGTGATAGAGTAATATTTCTTCCTTCCCTTTTATCTATCATCTATCTATCTATCTATCTATCTATCTATCTATCTATCTATCTTAATGTCATCCATGAAAATACTTTTGACCTTTTGGATCCATTGAAAAGGAATCCCTGAAGTCTTAAGGTTCAAGATCCTACTTTGAGATCTCATAGGTAAAATGGTTAGGGACACCTGCTCTTATCAAACTCAACATTACAAAATTAGAGAATTTCATGAGGCTGGCAAATAGGTATCTATTTGTACAGACTTGGAGTTTAAAATACATGGAGTCTAGTGGTCCCCTGCATTCAAAGAGGTTAGTCTAATCTAGTTGGAAAGTCAGGAAGCTCTTTGATTAAAAGATAAATCCATGTAGTGGTTTAAGTTAAATGTTGAAAATAGCAATCTCCTAATAAGGTAAAAACTGACTTATGCCTAATTGTGGCTAAGAGCATTCTAGTTGTAAATTACGAAAGTTTAAATGAAAACTGGGCCAGTCTCTTAAGCCTTGTGTTATGTGCCCATACCAGATGTTATTTTCAGAAGCTAGAGGCTTGCAAATTCCTTATTTTTGTAGGTGGAAAGTTTAACCAGTGACAAAAGACAGGGAAAAAACATGAAGTACTTGCCATGCGGTGGTGGTAGATCTCTATGAGTTTGAGGCCAGCTTGATCTACAGAGCAAGTTCCAGGATAGCCAGGACTACACAGAGAAATTCTGTCTCAAAAAACCAAAACCAAACCAACCAACCAACCCCAACAACAAAAACATGAAGTGCTTTAAAAAAAATTAAAAAGAAAAGAAAAGAAAGAAAGGTACTCTAAACACAACTGTTTTAATATGAGGAAAGTCAAGTACCTGGGTTTTAGGTTTTTAAAGTACTGTTGATTTGGAGCTGTTCTTGTAAAAGTCATGAGAATTCTCCCTGATTAATTCTTCAAAGAGTTGAGAGAGCTCTAAATTTCCAGCACACCCCACCCCTATATCACACTATTAAAAAAAAAAAGGAGTGATTGGTTTGATCTGCAGTTTGTGTTTGGAGGGGTTATTGGAGATAACCTTTCTATTTTAGTTTTCTAAAGGTCCTTTTAGTAGGCTCAGGTGCTGACTGGTCCTTTGTCCATAGTAATACATTTGTAGTGGATTGATCAGTTTGTGATAAAGGTATGAAGTCACCCTGATGGATTGATGGGTTATTTTGTATCCTATTTCTCTCAGCCTACTTTAAAGAAGACTAGATCGTACCTTGAACCGAATTTTCTAAAAAAGATCAGTAATTTAGTTCATGAGGTTGAATACATTCACTACTTTTAAGTAGCATTCTGTGTTGTGTTTACTAAATATCTACTGCCGTGGTCTACTCAGTAAATACTTGCTTGATGAAGTTTTCTCATGTAGATTATGAAGTGATCTCTAGCTTCATGTTGAGAATAAATGTAGATGAAGTGAGTTTATTCCCCGGAAGGCTTTCCATAGCCTTCTCCTCCCAGTATGTTAGCCGGTAAGCTGAGCTAGATTGTAACCAATTGGCCGTTTATGACCTTGTTAACACAAGAATTTGTAGTCTTCTGACAACATGGACATATAGATGGGTAGATGGAAATGCTAGTTGTAATGAATAGGGTCATTTAAATTAGTGGGTAGGTGATAGATATTCTTTATACTGATTTTGAAGATTAGTATTTGAACTTTGTGTACTTTTGTGTTTTCTGAAGAATTAAACTATCTTTTAGTACTATTTGTAAAGCCCAAGTTAAATGGAGTTGTCTTAGTTGTAGATGTAACCAACAGGAAAACTTAAGCTACACTTAGTAGTCATGTTGGCAGTGTTCTTCCCCACTCCAACCCCAGAACCTTAAGCAGCCCCAGCCTGTTCCCACAACCTCTAAGTGATTGATGTAGATGTCAAAGCCCTGGACCTGACCATGTGCTCCGTGTGTTTGACCAGGCTGAAGCTAAAGGGTATGAGCCAGGCCTGTTTCTGTTGTGATCAGAGGGTATCTAAGCACTATACTGAGTGTATAAAGAACATTCTGCATGGCCTAAGCAGAGGGAAAGGATGGGCTGAGGGGGGAATTAGAACTTTTTGTTTTTCTGGAATTCATTTACCCTCAAGATAATTATAATTCTTTACATTGATACCATTAACAGTAAGATTTTATAACATTCTACTTTTTCCTCATTGAAATTTATTTATGTGCGTGTACGTGTGTGTGTGTGTGTGTGTGTGTGTGTGTGTGTGTGTGTGTTTGAAGCACTGGAGATTAGAAGATAACTTTCAAGAGTTGTTCCTCTCCGCAACGATCTAAGGTCATCAGGCTCAGTAGCATGTGCCTTTACCGGCTGAACCGATTGCAGGCCTTCTCATTGGAATTTATGCAGTTTTCTGCTGTACTGGAATATGAAGATTTGTTTGTGCTCTTTCAAACTAGATTTAGAGATGCTAACAACTTTATAGTATTTGGAGCAAAAAATGAGTAGTTAATAGCTAAGTGAGGAATTTAAATTCCTGTTTTAAAATTTGAGTCCTCTTCTATCAGGGAATCATTTACATGTGGATTTTTCCTTAATGTATTTTTTTTTTCCTTTTTGAGGTCTACCTTCTTGTTCAATATATATTTCCGTTGGAAAAAAACAGTCTTTGATTAAACTGTAGTTTCAAACTTCTATAAATGTTTTTGTTCAGCCTGGGCTTGAGAAGGGATTTAGTAGGCAGCTTTGCAGCAGAGAATATGTGCTGTACAGTCAGTCTGTCAGTGTTTGGTTTATTCATATCCTTTTCAGATAGGAGAGCAAATGCTGGAGGTGTTTTCATAGCACTTTCCTGGACAGATGGCTGAGGAGGAAGTGCTTTGACAGAGTCTCAGTGGGGGCTGGTACTGGGAGGGTATGCTTGGGATGGATCTTACTGTGATTGACAGTTGAGAATGCTGAGAATAGTATCAACCACGGTAACAGCTTGCTCATCTTACCTGGATTTGTCTTGTGCCAAGACCTCTCAAGATGCTCTGAGATTTTTATATAACAGTCTGTTTTGGGAATGTAGGTAAGAATAGATACCATTGGGGCTCAAAAGGTATTGACCAAAAAGCTGTTCATTGCAGTCTTCTCTTGAAATCTATGGCAATTGTTGAATGTACTTTGGCTTAGAAACTTGTAAATATAAACCATCTTTTTAACTACTATGAGTCTGTAGATGTTATTATCTATAGTAATTCCACATGTTTTCTCATCTATTAGTTTTACTAAGTAGGAGGAGAACTGAGAATAACATAAAGTAACTTCAAAGCAGCTTGCTAGCATTTAATCCTGACTAATTTAATTAGCTACTCATCCTTGTAGTTTTTCCTGATTTATAGATTGTGAAACTGAGACAAAGGTTAGGAGTTGCTTAAGATGCTCTGGGGTATTAAAGATAGCTCAAAACTTAAACTCAACCACTCAGACTTTTAACTTGTCCTTGTGAGAGTGAAGTCTTTATTTTGTCATTTAGAAACTTAATGCTTAGTAATTTAAGGGACTTAAAAGGCTTGGAAACATGCTTGGAAGGTTTTTGATATGAGAATGTTTTAAATTCCACATCTTAAAAATCACTCATTTTAAAATTTGGCTATTTGACTTCCATGATCCAATTAATTGATTAAAGTGCTAGCAAATAGGCACGAAGAATTGGCGAGAAAATGACCTCAAAAATCAGCCTCATTATGCCCAGCTCTTTTTTTGGGGGGGGGGCTGAAATTCACTACGCAGACATAACAGCCCCCTCAATATAGGTGCATAAAAAATTGTAGTAAGCTTCTGGGTGTTTAAAAAAATGTGTTTCAGTTCAATCCCCTTCCTCTCGCTGGTTTCATTTTATTTCTAGTACAGGAGGTTTGGGGGAGGGGGAAGGGGTTGTGCCCTTTAGAACAGGGAGAGATTTCTGAAGCTATGGAATTTTGCTTTTGCCTCTGGGAATTCAGAGGTTTTCACAAATCTGATAATAGGCAACCTGTTGATTATATATTTAGTTATAGTTTAAGATTTTCCAGGTGTATTTCCTATAAAAGTTAATTACAGTCTTTAGATTGCAGGTCTTAAGACACATTTCCCTCATGTGAGATACACTGAGAACTAACTCACTCCCCTCTCTCTCTCTCTCTCTCTCTTTTTCTTTCTCTGTGTGTGTGTGTGTGTGTGTGTGTGTGTGTGTGTGTGTGTGTTTAGAAATGCATAAAACCCAGGTAAGCTCAGGAGAGCAGTTTCAGATTTTGAAAACTACTGTTGAAATTTAACGTGGACATTACAAAATTGAATTTGCTCTTGTCCTAAGTGGTTGTGTTAGCTGGATACTTCACAATAAATAAGTAGCTAACTTATTTTGTAAGGTTCATTGAGAAGGGACTTGGGTGTTTGTTTTTAAGATAAACCAGTGCATATCTTGTAAAAGGATAGTATGGCCAACTGCATTTTATCTACTTTAGGACTGAGTAGCTTGGTCAGTGATGTGGTTTCCATTCTTGAGTAGATACTGTATCTTGTTTTTTCTTTGTTGCAGCTGGGTTGAAGATAGCCTTCCCAGTAGAAATCTGCTTCCCTGTTTATCTTTGACCTGCCCTCCAGACTGACTTGGGAATGTTCTTACTGTCTAATCCTCAAGAGGAGGCTGCTGTATTCCTGTAGACTTCATAGAGCTAGTTGTAAGATAGTACACCGGTGAGCTTCTTTTAAGTCTTTGTTCTTGATGACTAACCTGAAGATTCCTTTGTGACTTCTTTGCTGATTTTTGAGATAATATCTCAGTCTGGCCTTGATCTGTGACGGTTCTCCTACCTCAGCCTCCCTAGTAGCTAGAATTATATGTGTGAGCCATCACGCCTGGCTGGAATTTTAATACTTTGGTAAGTTTTGAAGAGCAAAGTAAATTTTCTAGGAAACAAATTTCTATGATGAAATGTTTCATGTAGTCATAGACATGTTACAAAAATGTTTTAATATACTAGGTGTTTATAAAAGAACTATATGGGGGGGGGGTTGGGGATTTAGCTCAGTGGTAGAGCGCTTGCTAGAAGCGCAAGGCCCTGGGTTTGGTCCTCAGCTCCGGCCAAAAAAAAAAAAAAAAGAACTATATAGGAAGCTGGAGAAATGGCTCTGTGGTTGAGAGTATTGGCTGCTCTTCCAGGGGATCTGGGTTTGATTCCAGCACCCACATGGCAGCTCACAACTGTCTGTTAACTCCTTCCAGGGAATGTGACCCCCTTTTCTGACCTCTCCAGGCACCAGGCATGCACATGATGCACAGACATACATACAGGCAAAACACCTATACACATGAAATGAAAATAGATTAAAAAAAAAAACTATTATGTGGAGACCATAGATCAACATTATTGTTGATAAAAGAATTTTAAATTTTACTTTGAGGTAGTAAAATTTCAATTTAGTTGAAATTTGATTTAATTCAAATTAAGTCTTCATGTGGGTTATTCTGGCTGCTAACAGTGAGCTATATTAATATTTTCTTATTTTACTTTATTTTATTTTTTTCAGAGCTGAGGACTGAACCCAGGGCCTTGTGCCTGCTAGGCAAGCAAGCGCTCTAACACTGAGCTAAATCCCCAACCCCTCAATATTTTTTTAAAAAGGAAATTGTAATATAACTAACAGATCAAGCCTCACCTGATGTGTGTACAGTAGCTACCCAAGTTTGATATTTGTTATGAGAAATTAGTCCTAAGGGCTTAAATTCATGATTTTCATTTATTGATTTTTAGTATTTTTGTTTGGTTGTTTTAGAGCCTCATTTAAAAATAGTTTTTCGGTCTTAAAAGTATTTAATAGGTATATATATTTGGGAGATGGTCAGATTTGAAATTGTATCTTTCATTATAAAAAAAAAAATCCAACTTTTGGCTGGGCTGTGGTTAATCCCAGCATGTTGGGGGACTGGAGAGGTGGCTCAAAGGACCAATCTGTTCTCAGACCACACTACAGGACTCAAACAGCCTGCAACTCCAGCTCCAGGGATCTGATGCCCTCTTCTGGACTCTGAGGACATCTGACTTCCCAAGGGCACATAATTAAAAACACAAATCTTTACATAAATTGGAATATTGTGAATTTCATTCAGGATCATTTAAATAAGTATATGCCCAATTGGTATTTTTTCTATTTCTTTATAGATGGTCCCATTAGTTCTAAAAGAATAAAATTTCCCAGCTTAGCAGTAAATGTAAGTATGGGAAATTTTCCCACTTTGTGCTTTAGCAATAACCTTTATTACAAAACCAAAAGAAACTAGTAAGAAATGTAAAATGCAAGTGTTAAACATGTTCTCTGAAGAAAGTCTGATACTAAGAGGTCTGTAAATCTCGGGGGCTAGATAGATGGACCAGAGGCTGAGAGCACTCGCTGTTCTTCCAGAGGACTGAGTTCCATTCCTAAAACCCATATGTGGCTCACAACCATCATACAGTTCCAAGGGATCCAATACTTTTTGGCCTTTGAGCACACTTCATGCATGCGGTACACAGACATACATGCAGGCAAAACACCTACACATAAAAAGTAATATTTTTAAAATGAGGTCTGTAAATACCATAATTATTTTGTATACTTTTAGGAGGGAGTGCTTCCTTAATATATAAGAATTTTTTCTTACAATCTGTGTATTTTCTGTTGTTTTGAAATAATAATTGTACAGTGCTTAACACTGACTTGATTCATTTCTTTTAAAGTGTTGTTACTATTTAACTGTGTATTTTCTTGCTTAGATTTTTGTTAGAGGCATAGAATTTTTACATCAGATCTTGCTATATTAAATCCATGGAAATATATATTTATGTTAGATTTTTCTTAAGTGATTCATGGCTTTTGTTTTCTTTCTATATAATCTCTATATAAACTTCTAATGGGAAGTTATTTTTGAAACAGTATTAAACTCTTAGTAATTTTTATGTAGCTATTTGTGTCTGGTTTTCCAGACTCTGATTTAGTAATCTGCTGTGGCTTTAATGGTTTCAATCCCCACTCTCCCATTACTGGTTCCTACTTAGGTAGAGACATAGTGCAGGATTTAAGCTGAAGCCTAGCAGAATAGACACAACCTTATAGATGTTCTTTTCCAGAATAGGTCTGAACAGGTCTGAATTTATTATAGAAGGAATGATAACAGGTTTGTTTAACATGTTACAGTTTTGAGAATGTGGTTTCATACATATTGTTTTATTCTGTATGATGTTGAAAACTGAATTTAGAAGTCCTTTTAAAAAAGATAGAGTAAAATACTTGAGCCATTTGGCAATGGGCCTTCTGGATCAGTTTGCCTCGATGTAGAAGTCAGCAGGACCAGATGCCCTCTCTTTCCTAGCTCTGTAGGTATCTGGGTTTGTTAGCATATAGATGACGAATATTGGCCAGTTTTGAAATTATATTTGCTATAGTAGAGAAGGACAAATTAGCACAAAAGTAATAGGAACTGAGTAGGTGGCTTGGTCCCAAATGGTAAACTGCTATTTGAAATTTTATGCTTTGTAATAGATTTAAGCCTTCTCCCCCATCCCCTCCTTACAGTGCTTGGGATCTGACCCAGGCTCTTGTACACACTGGCCAAGCATTCTACCCTGTCCTGACAATTTTTTTAAATTAAAATGTGATTTGGGCAAGTTCATGAATTGATATGACTCTTATACCCTTTAAAAATTAATTCATTTTTCAGAAAAATAATGCACATACACGTATGTAGTTGTTGATTAATAAAACCGAAGGGCTTTGAATAGGAAAGGCCTGCTGTCTCCAGCTGTCTTCCAGCTCTGCTTAGTGTGCGTGTTCTCTCCGAGTTACCCAAGTCCTGTGGGAACACACAGTTAGTTATCAGTTTGATGCTTTATTCCTGGCCCACTGTCTATAGTAAATGAGGACGTTAGTGTTCACCCTGCTGTTGTTGCCTAACTTCACGTCTTTTTTTTTTTTGTTTTTTGTTTTTTGTTTTTCGAGACAGGGTTTCTCTGTGTAGCTTTGCGCCTTTCCTGGAACTCACTTGGTAGCCCAGGCTGGCCTCGAACTCACAGAGATCCGCCTGGCTCTGCCTCCCGAGTGCTGGGATTAAAGGCGTGCGCCACCACCGCCCAGCTTCACTTCTTAACATGATAACAAATTTTGGTTAATGTAGTGACTAATTTTTCTTTCTCTTTCAACACTTTATTTTTCTTTAGTTATTGTCTGTTTTAAAATTGTTTAACTTTAGACATAATTTCTCTCAAATGTTCTTATAACTCAGCCAAGCGTGGTGGATGATACTGTGTTCCCGCCTCTGTAGCAGGCTAGATAATCTCCCTTTTCCTGAGACCTATCCAGAACCCTGTCCTGTGCTCCCATTGGGGATAATTGGATTCTAGGCTCACTGGGCAGCTTTGTTGTGGTTCCCTTTGTTCTCTTATGTTAGGTCTCCCATTGCCAAGATGCCACAGCGTTTTCCTTTCATGATTTATTCCATTTTTTTTTTTGGTGCAGTATATTACTTAGGTTCCTTGCCATGGAAGGGTAATTTTTGACCATTTGCAAGTCTGGCATTTTCGTACTATCTTTAAAGTGAAAGCTTTGCTGAATGTGGATTATTAGAGAAGAATTCTCCCAGCTGAAAGGCATTGTTTCTATAAGTTCACTGTGTTGCTGTTAGACATCAGATACCTTTCTAGTTACCTCTTTCATATACATCCTTTTATTTTTTTGCCTAGGTGTTCTTAAAGTTCAAAATGTTACGTCTTCAGATGCATACTTTTCTTTGATTTCTGATAAATGCTGAAGAGACTTTAAAATTTTTTGTTATTACTGTGTGTGCATGTGATATGTGGGAGGTACCTGTGTGTGTGGAGGTGAGAGGACACCTTTGTGGAGTCTGTGTCCTCTTCCATCTTTATGTAGGTTTCAGGGGTGGAACTCAGGTTGCCAGGCTTGTGCAGCAAGTGCCTTCACCCTTTGAACCACCTTAAATCTCACACCCTTCAGTTAAAAGTGTGTGTGTGTGTGTGTGTGTGTGTGTGTGTGTGTGTGTGTGTGTTAAATGTGATCCATTTCTTTACTGAAACTTAGTCCTGTTCTTTTTTTCTTTCTGGAACCCTGTTAACTGAATGTTACGTAAATTAGATAGAATTTCTAATTTCCTCTTGTCTTTTTTTTTTTTGGAGTATGGTTTGGTTGTTTTTTGCTTTTTGGGTCTAATATCTATTTTTTTTCTACTGTTTCTGTTGAGTTTTGATTATATTTTTTAATTTTCAAGAGCCCTTTCTTAATCTCTGACCATTCCTTTTACAGAATCCTGTTTCCATTTTATAGTGTCTGTATCCTTCTAGGGCTTAGTTTGTTTTGATGTTTTTCTGTGTTCCCTAAATCATTTTATTTTGGGGGGTTCCCTTTTTCTTTTTCACCTGGTGTTGGAGATCAAACTTGTGCATACTAGGCACCCTGCTCTCGGCTTGTACTTAGTGTGCAGTGTGCCTGGTGCCCTTGGGTGTCAGAAAGGGCATCAGATAACCTAGATATACCTGGAGTTCTAGACAGTTAAGAGCTGCTCTGTGGGTGCTGGGAAATGAACACAGGCCTCTGTAAGAACAACAGCTGTTCTTACCCGCTGAGCCATCTCTCCAGCTCCATCCTTCTTTTTCTTTTTGAAAATGATGGCCAGTGAGATGGCTCAGTAGTTAAAAGCAGCTGGCTGT